ACTAGGCCATATCTACCAAGTCGACCTCTATCAAAGGAAGAAATGAATGATACAAACTATTAGAGCAAATTAAACCGTGAACTTCAAATCACTAGACTTTCACTTGATTAAGTAAAGGAAAAAATGTTTAGGCAGAAATTTAAGTGAAGAAAGGAGCTTTCTTAGGTTAATAGACAAAATTTTTAAAATAAAATTAATCAATTGTTATAAAAATGAAATGTTGATTTATCCAGGACAGTCAGTCTGGCATCAGCATTATATAAGCGAACTCACCAGTGAATTTAGATAGATAAAAATTAAAAAACAAACGGAGCAAATTTTACCGATAGAAAGGCAGAGTCAGTATGATAATAGTAAAAAATTACTCTCAATACGGATGTCAAACAGAATGAATCAATTAATAGTGAAGCCTGTACACTTACTCTCATGTAAGATATCTCGATTAATGAATAAATAGAAAAAACACGCGAGAAAAATTCATGATGCGATGCAGCCTCAAACTGTTATGTAAGTTAATGCGTAAGGGCGCTGATAAAGTAATGGAATTTTAACGAAGTTTGTTAATAATTGTAAACTCAGGAAGGTTAGGAACCTGGAAGTGTACGATAGCAAAATACAAGAATCTAGATGTGTAAAGGTATTAAATTATTCAAGTCAGCTTGCTTTTGGAATAGTATACATAATAATAATGCACGGTCAAATATACCATAGGATGATATGATTTATTAAATAGTCCTGATGGTAAGCCTTCAATAGTGAACAAACCTTGCATCCTTCACAGGAAATGACACCGTAGTGGTAACCACTAGCCTTATCACCGCAGACTTTACAGGGCGTGAAAGTTGCTTTGATTGAGCCAACATTTGAATTGCTGTCTGCGACAGAAACCTCGGACCCACCCTCTATTCTAGAAGATGGGCCAGTAGCTTCCAGGGAAACACTTCCGGAATTACCTCCACTCGAAGGGGAGGCAATCGCAGGCCTTCCTGCGCTACTGCCGGGCATACTTCCACATGGAGATTCATCCCTAGGTGATAACTTTCCGATTCCATGAGATAATGCATCATTTCTGCTAGAAACATCAGAGGCCATATTGCCCGATCCAACGCGATGAAGGGAGGTGGCGACGTGAAGAGGTTGTAGGCCCGCATGATGCATCTCAGCGTATAAAGAGAGAGCACGTTCATTTTGGTGCACAGAACGAGGCTGTCCAAACGATTGCGCAAGTATCTCTGATGATTGATGTGCTGTTAAATGGGATAATGTCGCGGATGCGTGAACGTGCTGGGGATGTTGTTGCAGATGAACATTTTGTACAAGTCCCTGAGGATTTTGGTAAGTATGAAAATTATGAGGGTTAAAATGAGGAGGTGGACAATTTCTGTGATAAAGAGAATTTTGAAAATTAGGGACAGGCGATTGATATCCAGATGCGTAGGGAAGTTGAGGGTGTTGTATCTGACCAGAGTGTGTGAAAATAGGTGAGGGATTTGCGTACTGCGTATGAAGTGAAGAGACGCTTTGGCAGGGATCCATTGCGTCAACGAGGTTTTCCTGAGGAGAGTTAGAGCTAGAACCAGAAACTTTATTAGAGGCTATTTGGCGACTTTGTGAGGTACCGGATGATCCATAAAAATGAGAAATATTCACAGAAAAGGGCGGATAATTGAAATTTCCGTTAAGTCCATTATCACCGTATGCAACACCTCTGCCATCATATGCCTCATGTTTGACAAGTGAGTTCGAAGAACTGGTTTCCATGATGAGAACGAGAAGGGCCCGACATGAGTTTTTTATATCCTGAGCATCAAAATGATTGTATGATTAAATGCAATACAAGTGACTGGCAAAAAACATTATTATTCCTCTCCATTAAAAATGCAAAATCCGAAAGGAAAGAAAGCCATGGCTCATGCGACGAGAAGGACAACGCGAATGAGCCAAAAACAGGTTGACGTGCGAGCCAAAAAAATATTTACTCAAGGTTAGAATTACAATTAGTTAAAACAACATATTAGATAAAATAAAATAAAATAAACTGCTAATTTGAGTAAAACATTGTAATTAGCATTTATCTAAATTATTTTTTAAGAAATTCATTAATGCACAATTTATGAGGCAAAATTAATTTCGGAAAATGTTTTAAGGGACTGTTAGTTGAATCTTTTCCTAAATTATATGAGTAGACCTTACATTTCAATCAAATTTAACAGTCCTGTTTTCTCCAAGAGTGTTTTTATTAAGGGTTGAATAGAATTTTATCTTCGTTTAAACTATATCAACACCTCTCTGGACTCGGACCATAAATGTGCAGCTTGTGATCTTGACCCTTTGACTACTACACCACATTGTCAAGAGTGCCCCTGATTCCTAAGACAATGCGAGTTTTCCCGAAAAACACTTACGAATAAACTGATAATAGGTATCTTAGTCAATTGCCTTAGCAAATATAACTTTCTTTTACCGACAATCCCACCCCGAAATTTCATATGGGAAGAGCTCTAACCCTTCTTGAAATTTGTTTCTGCCCTCTGACCCAAGTTTGCTCTCAGTAATATGGTGCAGTGGTCTAAGTGTCGGGATTATACGCTGAATTGCCATAGTTTGAGTCCCGCTGTGGTTTTTAATATGACCTAGACTAAGCCAAAACTGCAGTCCAATATAATTTATGTATCTTTTATGAAAGAAAGCTATGTAGAATTCAATGAGAATGTAAGTTATCCTCATACAATCGTAGGAAAAAAGTCTGCTGGCATTCTCTTCATTCTTTTACGCTCTTCATAGCTTACATATTTTTATTTGTTAACGTATGTTTCAGCATACCTAACTCTTTTGCCTACGACTATTTTAGGAAATTAATTTTGGTTCAAGGCACTCAGCCTATGCGATTATGATCAGTTGTAAAATAACTATCACTAAGATATAAATAAATCATTATATTCTAGAAGGGCATGAAACAATGCAAAATGTTTAAGAATTACGTATGGAATTACTGTAAAGCCAGTACAAATTGAAGCATTACATTTTAATATATCAATGAAGCAAATTTTTATCACTGACATATAATTTCTTCATATTTCTCCATATTTCTCTATTAGAATCGATTTAGAAGACGAATGGACAAAATGATTCAGGCAAAGTTGTTAAAGTTCTTAATATTTGGAATTTACAAGTATTCAGCTATGGATTAAATAATATTTCTCATTTATTACATTGTAGTGGCATCTATCCCACAGTCAGTTTGGATAAATCTCTAGGCACAACTAGCTAGTAAACAGTTATCTCGCAACTCAAGCATGAGCCATCGGCTATACATTCGGCAGGGACTAAGCAAACCTAGTAACTTCATCTAGCTCTCTGTTAAAACAATCAGGACGTGGTATAAGT